GGTGCTAGGGGGTGGGAGAGTATGGTGTAGATTTGTCGCCTGCTCAGTCCGCGTGTCAGTCGTTTGTCATAGGAGCATGGGCCCAATGTCGGATGTCGGACGTCTGACGGCGTCGTCGTCGTCGTCTGGAACTCTTTTCAAGTACATGCAATCAATATTTCGCTTGCATTAATTATTCATGCCAGAGGAGAAGGCCCAGCATAATGCACTGTACAAATATTTACACCCAAAAGTGTGTTAATTTGATTTAATTTCTAAGGAAAGATGAGATTTTGCTAGAAATACAGTATATGATATGGAGAAAATAGCAATTGAATGCCTTGAAATGAATGAATTTTATTGTTGATGATATAAAATTAATATTGTTTTCTTATAAACTACAATTTCATTAAAATTCTCAACTAGTTCTTGAAAGAAGTATCAGGTTTGATACTTAAACATTAAAAATATCGTAAACATTAATTGACAGATTTTCTAAACATCGAAAAATATTTTACCTTTTTAAATTTATTTATCTCATTTTCCGATTTAATTGATACAAAATATCAAACAGAATATCGATTTATATGACATTTATCGATTGTCTCATCAATTATCGATACATTATCCAAATTTGTTCAATATCCTTGTTTCATAATTTAAAAAAATTATATTTTTCTGGGTGTACCCACCCCTACACCCCCCTTAGTATCCCCCCTGGATTCCAGTCTGCATAATAATAATATTTCTGCCTTCAGCTGCGTTCCAATTCCAGCGCATTGCTCGCATTTTTCCTTTATTACAAGAGAGAAATATATAAAAAGAAAAAAGGAAAAACCACATAGGTGAGGAGGGGAGGGGCCTGTAGCCTGATCTGGTGTGGGCGGTGGGAAAAGCCATAATAAAAGCAAGTCAGGCGAGGGAAAAACATTTGTTTTCTGTTCCATCTCGTAAAATATACGCGAAGAATCTGTAGTTAGCTGTGTAGTTTTGGGTCAGGTTTATGGAACGTATAATTGGCCCAAAGCAAACGGATCTTGGCATCCGAAATGCGCTGCGCCTTATTAATAATTGCACTTTTCATAGCTGTTTATCTAACTCTGCGTACGTCATTTGGTGGGGCGCCACACACGAATGCGGGTCTATAAGGGGGTAGGGTGGGAAAGTGGGTGGAAAATCTGCCATTGTTCTATTTACAGCTCGCACTTGATCTTGCCAAACAAAAATATATATACAAACTTACCATAATACATGCACAACTGGAGGGCAGAACTTTGCTTTCGGGATTTTAGCCAATTATTTCAAGGTCACTTGCCTGCCTTTACTAAAAATACAAAATATCTTGGGACCACACTGAATGCAGCAGCGATTTTTCTATAATAGGGCATGGCGAAAGGAAATTAAATCATGCTTCGTCTGTGTATCTGTACCAGAGGGGGGAAGCGTAAAAGGGGAAACCCCCAGCGAAGATAACACCACGTTCTCATGGGAGCGTATTATATTAGATAGCCTTAGACGTAACAAGTGGCTTTTATCAATTGTTTCTTCCTTTTGCATGGTTTCACTGAATAATCTTTTAGGGGAAGTGACTGTGAGTATAGTTTAAAATGGTATTAGAGTAGGAAAAATCAAACTTGGAGTCTTATAAAGAGATATAGTAGTTTTAATAATCCCTAATTTGCTTTTTAACACATTTACTATCAGCTTTAAGACCTTTATGATGGTTCTATCAATGTAAAAAATTTAATTTAAGGATTTAAATAGATATATTTCTTAAAATAGTGTCATAATTAAGCATTCTTTTAGAAAAGAATAGAACCATATGTTTTAATTTCTAAATAGAGCTAGTAGAAATGCAGAAAGTGAAAACAATTTAATTTATAGTGCCATAATTGTGCAGATATGACACTAACAAAAATATATTCCTTATCAAAAAAGGAAACAAATTTAATTTAATTATTACCATTTCTAAACAAAAATTGTACCCATTACTAGAGTATCCTTATGTGTAATATCCTCTTGGACCCACATAACACTCACAGTGACCCCGATAGCCAAGAAGCCGCTTTAATTAAGAGCTAAAATCCAAAATTATGGCCACATTAATGGCCAAAGGGAAAACGTATCTGGGCAAAGTCGTTTTCATTATCCCAATTGCGAGTTTCTCATTAATTTCTTTGCCGAGAAAAGCGCACAACGTGGAGAGGTGAGGAGAGTGGCGAAAGTGGAGAGTAAAATAATTTCTGTGCAGATTTAATTATCAGGAAATTACAAACACACACATGCAGTGCATACATGTATTTTATATGCATACATATACAGTTGTGGAGATGCAATTTACAGTATGAGGTAATCGTGCAGCAGAGCCGCCTCCCTCTCCCCCTCCCCCCTACTATCCCTGGCATGTGCAACAGTGTTCTCCCACACAGGCGCACAAATACAGGCAAAACGAACGCTTCTGACTGGCGGGCATTCAATGGGAGTCGTTGTTGTTGTTGTTGCTTTTGCTGCTGCTGCTGCTGTCGCCATTTCGCTGTCGTCTCCCTTATCTCTTTGTTATTATCTCTCGCTCTCTCTGACTGAGCTTGGGGGCGGCATGAGGCGGCGGAGAGTGGAGAGTGTGCTGTCTGTCATTAGTTTGTCATCGTCTGCGTCGACAGAGACTGAGCGGCAAAAAACTTTTGGCGTCCCAGCAGCACCAGCAGCAGCAGCAGCAGAACTCCCTCTCCCTCTGATGCTCCCATCTGGCGCTCTCTTTGGTCGCGCTCTTGCGCCTGCGCTCTACTCCACTTTGGGTGGAGCTTTGGGGACTCTGCAAAAAAGGGGAGAGAGAGAGCGAGAGCGAGAGAGCTTGAATTCGCCTCAATTGCAACGGCGAAATTCGCCTGTAGCTTGTTGCTCTTTTTGGCGAGTCAGTTTCTGCTTTTTTGCATTGCTTGTGGCATTTGATTAATGAAGTGTGTTAAGAGGTTACCAGCCAAGGACAAAGGCTCTCCAAGAGGTCCTTGACTGTTGTTTTTCGTTGGGTTTTGCAAAACAAAGCAAAGTCCGTTAAGATTACCCATTGGGAGGCGTGGCCTCTGCTGCGGTCGCTGCTGCTGGTCGCCTCTGCCTCTGCCGTTATCATATCTCTCAGTCGCTGCTCATTTGGCGCTCTCTATCTCTCCATATTCTATGTCCATCCCGCTCGCTCATCTGTTGCTGCCGCTGCCGCTGCTGCTGGCTGTTGCTTTGCTCCTCTTCTGTTGCTCTTTCGCTTTGGCCAACGCTGCGTATGGGTAATGTGCGCCAAATTGTGTCGCCGCACTGTCGTCGCTCGTCGTTGGTCGCTGGTCCATTGATGTGCGCTGATAGCGACAGTGGGCAGCAGCAGCAGAAGCAGCAGCTGAAAGCAGAAGCAGCAGCAGAAGCAGCAGCTGAAAGCAGAGACAGCAACAGCTTTGCACAAAATGGCGTTTTGCTGGTATATAGCGGTACAATAAAAAAAAGAGGACAGAGAGACACATAGATACTCTCCATTGGAAATACAGTGGGCATTATATAAGGGAAACAATTAAGTTTAAGTAATATCAGTGTTTACTGTACGTATTAAATAAAAATTTTATTATTTTCGTTGAAAATTATAAAAATTTAATAATATTATTAAAAATAAAAATATTTCATAGCAATTTTTCTTACTAAACATTTCCCAATACATCTTAAAAATCAGAAATATTGTTTAAACCAATTAGAGAAAGGTTTTCCATAAGCAGACCCCACTGTAGTTACCCTGCTCCACAAGTACTCACCTCTTTTCTACCTTATTCCAAGACAAAACAAGAGAAAATATAACCCCTTTCCCGGAAAGTCTCTCGCTATCACTCTTTGGAGATATCTCCAGACTTATTTTCCACAGACTTCTGGGCGCAACTTTCTTGTGATTTTGCGAAAACAAACAAAAGGCGAAAAAGTAAATCGCAGCAGAAAAAGAACAAACAAATACCTTGCAGCAAAAAAAAGAAGGGACAAAATCCTTGTTGTTGCTTTGCTGCTGCTGGTGTTGTTCTTATTTTTGTTTTTGTTCCCGTTTTTGTTGCTATTTGTGCCCCTGTGTTTATTGCCCTTAGCTGCCGTGGCAGCCGCAGCCACAGCACTGGGTTTTATGTCTTCATTAACTGAAAAAGTTATGAGCCATGAGCGATGGTGGAGGGGGGAGGGGGGAGAAGGAAATCAGGGAAAACGAGGTGCAGAATGGCATAGGACAGGAACATGACCACAGCATCCATATCCATATCCATGGGCATCTGTAAAAAGTCGTAATTGGTCTTGGACCGATGGTTGACAATATTCCCTTGAGACATTTTCATTTTTTTGTGATCTGCGTCATGGTAATCAGTTTTAGTCATGTGCCGATTCTAAGTTTACAGCGAGACGATTGTCCACTGTTTACAGTGGGTACTAGACTAGGAAAACGAGGAAGAATGTGAAATCTATTATTACATTAACTTTTGGCAGATTTTTAATTGATTTGAATATGTATACTATTTTTTGTAATAAAAAATATATGCCTAATAATATTATTTATATTATAACCCTTAACAACTAAGATATATGTAAAATTCTTTAATATAATTTACTTAAAAGTGTGCTAAGCCTCACAAAGTGATTGAATTATGAGATCATAAGCTACCAAAGCATACTTTTCAGCACCTTTTTCAAATCCGAGTTCCTTAAAACTTTAGAAAATATATTCTTAGTAATATAATTAATATTATAGGCCTTAACAATTAAGATATTTGTAAAATTCGTTAAAATAATTTACTTAAAAGTGTGCTAAGCCATACCAACTGGTTGAATTAAGAGACCATACGGTACCATAGCATACTTTTCAGCACCTTTTTCAAGTCCGACTTTCTTAAAACTTTAAAAAACTTGTGGAGAAAAGTCTTTATAAGACCTTTCCTTTCTTTCTTTTAAAACATGTCACAATTTATTTATATTTTTAATACTCAAACCAAAAGTAATTTAAATATATTCCCCACTATAATATATCTTACATTTTGCCCCACTGTGACCGTTGATAACTCATTTCACGTGTCTAGATAGTATTACGAGAGCCTCATACAGGGCTTCAAGCTCCACTTACACTCGCCTCAAACATCGTTCTGAGATATTGGTTTATTTTTTTTACTGGTACTCGTAAAAAAGTCAGTCACAGTAGCTGTCGCTGTCGCTGTACTTGGTCAAGTCATCAGAAAACGACGATGTCGCTGTCCAATATGGCATGCTTGATTCCACACAGGTCTCACCAGTTAACTTCGCTCCACTGATGCGCTTTTTTTCAATTTGTCACGTACGTTGTGATATATATACATATACATATATATATATATATATCTTTTGATGTTGCAATTTTCATCTCATTACGTTCAGGAGACAGAGAGTGTTGGAGTGACGGGAAAAGAGAGCGGGCTGGAGAGCGACCCACTTAATTAAGTATTTATGAAATTCATAGAAAAAATTATAATCTTTACTTTCGCTTGCATGTGAATGGACAATCTAATTATGCATTAAATGACCATTACTTTGGGGTTACGAAAACAATGTTTCTGGGTTAAGATTCAGTTATAGTAACCTGCTAGGGGTTAAGTTGTGTGATTAAAATACATAAAATTTGAGGAAGTTAAAAAGGTTTTAGAAAATGTGGTGGTAATAAGCCAACACCTGAAGTTATTTCAATGGGAATTGGTGAAGGGGTTCAAAGAAATCACTTCTTTAAAGCATTTTTTAAAGATTAAATCCAAGAAGTAATTTATAAATTGAAATGTTATTAGTTAAAAACATATTAAACAATTTATTCTGAAGAATTTGACGAAGATTTCACAAGATATATGAAGTTTACTTGATGTTTATAATTTGGTTTCTTTATTAATTAACTTTGTAAAGAAATATACAAATCTTTGAGAACATTTGGAATAGGATTTTAAAGATATTTTAAATTACTATCTTTTTTATAGTTTTTAAATTGTTTGACTTGGTTTTATTGAACTTTTAAACAATTATACTATCTTTAGAAATACTTTTTCTTTATTATAAAGGTACAAATACATTTTCTTCCATAAAGTTAATATTTCCTTTTAGTTTTTAGCTCAAAAATAATTACCCTTTTGAAATAAAACCTATGATCCTATGTAATTCTAGACTAAGCCCATTTTAGTGACAGTTTTTCGTAAAAAGAAATCAGTTGTTGGTAAATAATGGCCCAAAAAAGTCCCCCTGGACGCAGAGTTTTGGAAAACGTGAGCGTGGCACATTTATCATTACTTTTTCCAGACCCCTTGCACCCCTCCCGAAATCCCCCGAGAGCCGAAATAGTAAAAGCAATAATAACTTTATGTATTTGACCCGAGTTACGGAACAACATCAGGACGAAGTCGGCTCCTCGAGTGGCTTCTATGATAGAAAATTGTGTCACGACAGGAAGCGAGATAAGAGCGTAATTTTCTTTCAACGTGCACGGAGTTTTCCCTCCCCCCCGCGAAAGCTTTTCTTCGTACGGAAAATGGTATATATAGTATTCAGGCCAGGACTTTTGGTCCGGATGTGAGCTATCGTGGTTACCGTTAGTCATTTTCAGTGATTGTTCAACGTCGGACGTTTCAACGTTGTCGTCGTTCGTCGTCCCAGGTCCCAGGTCCTTCGTCCTTCGTCCTCGTCGCTTGACTTTTAATGATTGTCACGCTCCCGCTTTCCAGCTAACCCTCCCCCTTTCCATCTCCCCTTCCCCTGAACTGCTGACCACAACAACAGACAGGTGGAAATCGGCGGGGGCAAGGTGAGCTAAGCTTCAGGGTAAAAGGGAGTGGGGGGTGAGGCACTGAGCCGAGGACTAATTTGCATTTATATTCATAATCTTAGGCATTGCGTCATGAAATATTGCATGTCCCAAACTTGTGACACTTTAATTGCCCATTTGGTACTGAGAATACACAGAGAAATAAATTGGAGTAGAATGGGAGGGGACTTAGATTATAGAAATTAAGATAATGTATAAGAAAAATATATTTATTATATTATATTGAAATAAACTAACTGTTTTTAATCACTTTTGTTTCAGAAACCTACCTCAACATGCATGAATTTGGATATATTGATAATGTTTCATTATTTTATGAAAAATTTGACTAACAAAACAATATTATATATATTATAACAAAACAATATTAAATTGCTAAAAGGGGTAAGTGCAATAATTTTATATCCTCTTTATATATACCGTGCCTTTATAAACCAAAATAATTGATATTTTTACAATAAAACCATTTTTTTCTATATTGAAAATTATTATTTAATTATATATCAAAGCTCACAAGATTTTTCATAATATATTTTTGGCGATATACCTTTTATACCATTTATTATATTATGTATCATATAGAATCTTTCTTTTATACCTTAGCACATACACCATATATAATTTTCCACAGGTATTAATATAAAATAATATATTATAAGATAATATTCTAGTTTACTTTTTCAATTGATATTTTCCTTGATATAAATATACATTTTATTAATATTTTCCCTTTTTCAATTGATATTTTTCTATATATATTTATACATTTTATTAATATTTTCCCCTTACTTTTCCAATTGATATTTTCCTTGGTATATATATATATACATTTTATTAATATTTTCCCCTTACTTTATCAATTGATATTTTTCTTGATATATATAAACTTTTTATTTATATATTTTCTTACCTTTTCAATTGATATTTTCTCATATGTGTATATAAGTCTTTTCCCAATTTCCCCAAGTGCAGTCCTGAAGTGAACTCATTTCTTGGGCACCTAATCGTGGTACTCCTCCTGTCCAAGTTGTGTTCGCAGATCAATGCCACGTGCAGCTGCCACCCCCTACAGGTCCCTCCCCCCTCTCATCCCTACACCTCTCCATATATAGTACGTAAATATCGGAGCAAATCGTTGTCTATATGGTTTTGTCTGTTTCGCTGACTACGTGACTTTTTGCGCATTTCTGCGCTTTCTGTTCGGGGGGCACTTGCAGATCGATTTTCAGCCGCCGCGATCCGACAGATCCATGCGGGTGCATAAAAACAGATACAGATACGGACACAGCGTGCAGATACAGATACAGAGGGCACTTTGGGCAGACAAAACAAAAGTTTGAGTAGCTGCTAAGTTGTGGCTGCGGCCCGTCCCTGAGCTCTGTGTTTGCTTTACTGATAAATGTCTAAAGAAATACAAATAAAAAGACACATTGTAGTGTGGTTTTTGGAATCTGGCTCTGAGTTTTTAAGTCTGTTCTTCGTCGATGGTTTTATCTGACTTCGGACTTTATCGGACGCATAAACAAGGCCCGATTGCAACATAAATCTTTTCGACTCACCACATGTTCTGTGATATGCAAAGTAATAACTCAAAACTTATATATATATCTCTGAGGGCGGCGATTTTCCCCACAGAGTTCCCTCGATTTTTCCCCCCACCCAAAAGTAATCCCCCCAAGCGTAAAGAGATGTAAAGACATGCTCGAGAGTGCCACTCAATGTGGCAAAAAAAGAAGAAAGAAACGAGGGGGGAAAATGGATCTGGGTCTGGGGTTTATTCCGCCGGCAAAAAGGACAAAATGTGTAGCAAGCGTAAACTGCCATTTTGCCATTTCAAGCATTAAGAATGCAAAAAATATACAGAGAAAATACGACAGAGAACGGTTTGCTGGAAATAAAAATATATATACAAAAAGAAAATAAATCTCGAATCACATTGTACGCATATTGCCGCCCCCAAGTGGCCTTTACTGATCCACCAGAACCAGCAAATTGGCTTAATTAAAAAAGTATTAGTTCTGCCTGCCTTAATTCTTAAAAATAATGTTTCTTTTTGCAACAGTTTGCATTAACTCCGAGTAAAGCAGCAGATTTTCTCAGGCAGTAAAATCCCTTTGTCTTTGGCAAGGTAATTAGGTTCAGGTTAGGGAGAGAGGAAGAGGAAGAGGAAAGCCAAAGCAATTTTCAAAGGAAATTCTATTTAAATTTAATTGCCCTCAAATCAGAAAACCAAAAACCACACTCTAACACATCCGTTTCTTGCAAGGAGTCTCACAAGTATGACCAATCATAGTTTTCCTGCCACGGGGGAAAGTAAGGGACCCTTGTGATATGCTTGAGCTGTGGAAAACCCCGAAAATTCAAGAGGATAACAACCAATTGCCACATGTCTGGGGGAAGGATTCATTTAAATAAACGGTGAAGCCAACATCCGGAGCCAAAGGAGTGGCGAAATCAAATTATAACTCAATTTATACGCTTGTTTGCCCAGGCAAAACTCAAGCACAAGTCCTGCCCAAGTAGCTCTCTCTCTCTCTCTGTGTGTGAGTGTGTCCTGCCATCCTCACAAAGGTCCGGCTTCTTCTTCAGGAAAAAAAAGAAATGAAAGAAAATTCAGTTTTGTGCTGCGCAAACAGTTCTCCCCCCTCGAAGCACCACACATTAGGACTTCCTTTCCTTCCGAGTTCGTGTCCTGGCTGCGATTGTGCGCATTATACACAGTCCGGCGCCAGTAGGGGGTGTCCTTTGTGGTCTTGGGAGGTCCTGGATGTCCTCTTGCATTGGAGGGGAAAAATATCTTTGATTTATGTGGTTTCCAGGTGGAAAACAATCATCTTTGGAGAGCCAAGGTTTCACAGGACATTTGTGGGGGGAAGAGGATGTGAAATTGATTGGGTTTTAATTAAATTATTTTATTAATTTAATATTTTTTATTCAATTCAGGGATATCCCCTAAGAAACTCTTTTAAATAAATCATAGATAGATACATCTTTAATCTGCCTAATCTCTCCTTATATTCTTCATAACCCTTCTATTAAGGTTTAGAATCCTTTATAGAAAGTCTGGAAAACATTTTCACACTTACATATGTATTCTGGAAAATCCCTTGATTATGTATTACTTGAAATACAACATAAAAGGCAGATCCTTCTCACCGATATCCAAATTCAATTAAATTTCCCTGCTCGTGAGTCGTCACGCCCGCATCTCAGCGCGCATTCGGGAATATCTCTGCAGGATTCCGTGTCCTTCGTGTGTGTGTATTTGTGAGTTTGGTCACCGCCCACCACATGCTACCGCCTCGTAACAAGAATCCCAGCCTGCCAAAGGACCTCAAGGAGTCCTCGCGCGAGACCATTTAATTTGCGGCAAGGTAATGTGGCATATGCCAGTGGTCTGGAGGAGCCGCCTCAGATTGAGTGCTAAACAGGCCAAGAACCACCCAACCACATCAAGGAACCACAGCTCAGCCAAGAAACACAGAGAGAAATTAAGGATCAAAAAGTAAGGCAGATGAATAGGTAAGAAAATAGAAATTGCTTTATTTAATGATTTCTTTCTTATATCAAATACTAAATGACATATTTTGAAAAGCCTTCTTTCTTACAGATAATATACTCTTTGAGGTATTTTTAATTGCTTTCTTATATTTAATACAATTATTATTTCCAGTGTAGACCCAAAAGCCCCATGAGCGTGAGCTCAAAATTGACCCGCAGCCTTTGGCCATGCATCTGGAATTTATTACGCCCTGGCATTTGCATATTTATGAATAATGGAGGATAACCAGTGTGGCCAAGAGCATGTCCAGAAATTAAGACTAACCTGGTGAGGGGGGAGAGGGGACAAGAGGCTAAATCGGAGGGTTACAATCCCCCATCTATAACCCCCTTTTTTTCCGACTTTTCCATTTCTATAACCTTTGCATGCCCAGCTCAGATCCGGCGAGTGTGCGAAACTGATACACCAAAAAGGCACACACACACACACACAGGGAGAGACTGGAATATTGTGTGTGCACACCCCAAGACATTGGTCACGAAAACCGGAAGTGCTGATAAGGAACTTCAATGTTTTTTTATTTCGTTGTCGTGTTTAATGTCTTTTTGTCGTGCTTAGTGTCTTTAGTGTGTTGTTTTTTGTGTGTGTAGACTGTGTGCGTGGCCATATAATCTATATGGTATAATACTTAGTAGCGATTTAGTTGAGACCTTTGGATGGGGGGGGTAACGGGGTCGCAAAGTCAAGTGGCCCTGGGAAAATGGGAATTTCATGTAAATCATTTTATTGAGCAACGGAGGGGGTTCTTTAGGGGGTAAATGTCATTTTTCGGCACTAAATTTATGGTTAAATAAGTTATTTACGATTATTATTCACCCAAAAAATAGAGAAGAAAATATGAAATTATATAAGAACTAATAGAAAACTTCAATAAAAATATAGAACTTTATGTCAGATTAAAATTAAAGTTGAAAGTGGTATTATAATTTCAGTCAAATGCTTGAAAAACAGTGAAGGAGTCATTTCCGACCCTATAAACTATATATATTCTTGATCAGCATGAACAGGGGAATCTTTCTAGACATGTAGGGAAACAAATATTTTTTGACTTTTATTTTCAAATTTTTATGGTATATGTTACATCATTTAAATTTTAAAAAATCGTCAAAATTTTAATCATGTTTAAATTAAAATTAAATTATGCTGAATTATTACTCTAATAAAAACTAACATGGGAAAGGTTTTCGAATGGAAATTAACGCCTTTTTGGCTGAGTTATGAGATTTTTAAACTTCGATTGTCATATAAAAATAATTGCTTAAATTAATACAATTTTTTAAACCCTTGCAGTATTATAATTTAAGTCAGAAGCTTACAAAACTGAGAAGAAGTCATTTCCGACCCTATAAATCATATATATTCTTGATCAGCATACGAATCCAAATCGATTTAGCTACTTTTGCTAGGAAAAAAAATGTAACATTTTTTTCAACATTTTTTAAGTAGAAAAATCATTAAAGTTGTCAAAAAAAATATGAAAAAATTTTATTATTCTAAAATGTTAATTTGAGTAAGCAGATTTATTAAGCTATAAAAAATGTACATAGAAAAGCTTTCCGAATTGAAATTAATGCATTTTTGCCTTAGTTATGATATATTTAAAATTAGCTCTTGATTTAATTGCAAACTGAAAGCGTATATAAATTATATATATTTATGTTAAAAAACAACAAAGTAATGCCTGCTTTCATTTAATTTAAAATACATATACATTTTATATTTACGGTTTTACATTTACCATTTTGCATTTTCCTCTATTTTAAACAACCGTTTAATACTATATCATATATATATATATATATGTAACTGAAAAAGATATATTTATTTTTCTTAAAAATTTTCGATCGTTCCTATGGCAGCTATATATATTTGTATATATATAGTCTACCGATTCGCCATGCTCTGACTTATATACTAGTAAAATTAAATAGAAGAATAACTCCATAGTTTCATTCAAATAGCTTATCATAAATTTGTTCAAAAACAAATCTCGCACATCTGCGCTTATTATTCTCAACCACTTCTAACATCCCCGGAACGAAGTGACTGCTGCCGGCCAAGTATCAGAAATGTGGTGTGTTAAAAAAGTTGTAAGTCATACATACTTAATGCGTTACTTACAGCTTACTGCATAGTTAATTACTGGTCATAGATATTTACTGACTATAGTTACTTAATGCTCATAGATACTTAGTGTTCAGAGTTAAAAACACCAAGGGTCAGTATGTTATATTTTTGATCAATTTTACGAATTTAACACATATTTTTTACTAACTCAAATTCTCATTATTCCAAAATAAACAATGAGACCTTTCCTACGCTTCTCAAAAAACCAAATTTTGTTTGCCTCTCTTTTACTCTCTCTCAAAAATAATACTTTCCTCGCATTCACTATCTCTCAAAAAAGTGCCCTCCTCTGCGCTTCTCATCCAGTGTACTTAAGCACCGTAGCAAACACAATTATTTTTGTTCTTCTTCTTGAAACTATAAGTTGCTAATTAAATTTGATTTTAAATCTAACCTTTGGCTATTATAAAATCTGTGTTAAATCAAAGTTTTCTATCACTTTTACTCTCTCTCAAAATAATGCTTTCCTCGCATTCACTATCTCTCAAAAAGTGCCCTCCTCTGCGCTTCTCATCCAGTGTACTTAAGCACCGTAGCAAACACAATTATTTTTGTTCTTCTTCTTGAAACTATAAGTTGCTAATTAAATTTGATTTTAAATCTAACCTTTGGCTATTATAAAATCTGTGTTAAATCAAAGTTTTCTATCACTTTTACTCTCTCTCAAAATAATGCTTTCCTCGCATTCACTATCTCTTCAAAAAGTGCCCTCCTCTGCGCTTCTCAACCAGTGTACTTAAGCACCGTAGCAAACACAATTTTTTTTGTTCTTCTTTAAACTATAAGTTTCTAATTAAATTTGAGTTTAAATCATAAAACTAAAAACGAAATTCTATAATAATAAAAGATATATTTGAATCAAAATATATAAAAATATGTGTATAGACTTGTAAAGTGACAACGAACCACTTAAATTCCATGAATCAAAACTTTAGCAAGTTCTTTTTTTATTTGTTCTGTGGCGGAGTACAAGAAAAAGAAACAAATTTTTGAATTGCCATCGTAAAAGTCGCGTTTAAGTGGAGTATAATTCATAGTTGATGGCTCCCATAATAGTAGTGTATTTGTCGATTTTGGGTGTTCTCTGTAAACAAGGTCCCGCTGCCAAGTGGCTGGCGGTGGAAACTCAAGACAATCCCAGCCACTTATCGAATTTCACACTCGATTTGTTCTAGCCGCAGACGCGGCTTTGAAGACGAAACCGGGAAAATCGATGAGCTCTGTGACAGCCGAGCAATTAGATTGGATTGGAGACTCTCTTTCTCCTTGGTTTGGTGGAGTAATAAATGTGGATTTATGCGGTCATAACAATTAGTGGGAAGTCAAGTGTCGCAGTCCCCTTCCTTCTGATCTTCCGTCATGAGAAAGTTATCTGTAAAAATTCCTCGAGGGAAAATTATATTTTTAAAATGTTCGTATTTTTGATGCTTCACTTTCGAGCACGTGGCTTGGGAAAATATTATTCACCTGACTGAAAACTCCCCCTGGTTATCATCGTAATTGGATTTAATCCTAGGCCTATATAGTCCCAATCCCTTTTTGTGTTTGCGGAAGGGCCAACCTGTGCAACGACATTTAACCGCGGGCATATTTAATTTAATTTCTACGTATTTAACCCCAAAACCCAAGCAAAACAACGAGAAAATAACTAAATCAATGCCGAGGCATGTAATACTCTAAGGAAAAGGGTACAGGAATATATTTTGCATATGATATAATATGTAATTCATATCATATAATAAAATTGTTAAAATAAAATCGTAACATTTTGGAATAACAATAAAGCTAAATAAATTTAGAGTATGAAGGAAGTATGAAGTATTTAGTATACGTATATTAATAGTTTATTTCTTTAAAACTATTTAGTTTAAATTTAACAAGTATTTTTATCACTTAAACTCTTCCCTTTGTTAGGGTATCCCGTTGGACGTTGGGAAAAGGGATATTCAGGGGTCAGAAGAGAACAATGACGATTGCAGGTTGCACACAAGCCCGAAACGCGTTTCGCTTTAAAAATTTATGCAATTATGAGCCGCAAATATTATTATGTAAACATACAAATACCAAAAAGGGAGGTCGAGCAAATGAGCAACGAATGTCCTGGCCCGCTCCTGCCGCTCCTTGTTTGTGGCAACATATTGATAGACAATAATTTGTCTTAATGAAATTTTGCTGTTATTTATGAGATGGCCGGAACGTGTGGCAAATCTTTCAGAGCCCAAGGCGACGAGGACGGCGTTGCTAGGAAAACAGGAAAATAGGAAAACAGAAGAGCGGAGAGCAATCTGCTTCTGCCCGAAGGTCCTTGGCAGGACCAGAACCAGGCAATTAGTGAGGGTGAGAGTTCACTCCGTGTTGGTGGTTACTTTTACTGGCTGTCCTTCATGTCCTGTGCATAATTTATGGCTCCTTCTGTCTGGGTTTTCCACCAACCAAGAGGAAGCCCCATTTCAATTATCAACGAAAACTTTGTGTCGATGAAAATCTGTGATGTAATTGCTTTTCCTCTTCGCACCTTTTGTCCAGTTGGAAAATCCCTGGAAACTCTCTCTCTCTCTCTCTCTTTTGCTTTTCTTAATGGGGCTTCCCCGCTGCGCATGTGGTGGAGATTTCGCTGAAAGATTTTCCCCAATATCAATTGAAATTAAATTGAATTTTAAATTGGCCAGAGGAGACATGCTGGCTATAGAAGAACTTCCTCCTGGGCAAGTGGGCGTGTATGTGGTTGCCTTTGGCTGGCCAACACTTGTTTGTGACAGCCCGAGAGGGCAATAAAGCGAATGAAAAATCGCCCAAGGAGCGTGAGAGTGGCTAGAAAGAAAAGCTTAGAGTGGGAAAGTTGGAAAAAACCATGTAGCTTCTTTGATATAAACCTCCGGGTTCCTTGGCATTTAAAAAATAAACTTGGCATTGATGTTAACACTTGTTTTTATTGCTCTTGTTTGATGCTGCAACCTGCTCCACTCCAACTGATCCTGCACCTCTTCCTCTCAGTGTCCGTGTCTATGTACGTGTTGTTCTTGTTGCTGCTGTTGTTGCTCCTAGAGAAGGCATCTTCACCATCACTTGCTCCATCTTGACGAGGCTCTAACCGCTCTTGAACAGTAAAATCGCCACCTGGCCCAGGTAAAAGTAGATGAAGTGGCGCGTCTCGTGGGTCACATATGAGCCAAAATTGCGACCCACAATGCAGTGCCAGGTGGGATTGTATTTCTTGTCGAACTCCTTCTTGATGTAGGCCGCAATGTCCTTCTCGATGTTGTACTTCTCGAGAGCCTGGGTGGCACAGTCCACGGAGTCCTGCTGCATCTCCTCGCTCATGTCAGCGTTCTTGATTACGGCCTTGCGATCAGACATTTTTAATGTAGATATCTATAAGCGCTTTTCTATATTTTTTATTCTTTTGATTTTTCTCCAAATGGATAACGAAAACTTAGAATGGCAAATGAATTGTACAGAAACTCAACCAGACAGAGAACTCACACTGAGAACTTTTGATTGAAAAAGAATTCAACGTTAACTATGTTTTCTCACAGAATGCTTTAATGTAGTTTTAGAAACTTGATTTTTGATAAAAACAACACCCTTAGGTCATAGTTTTATTTAAAAAAATAAATTGCTGCATTTTCCTAGAGCCTCTGGGACTTCAGTTAGTTGGCACAACGAACAAAAGTAAAAGTTGGCATCACAATGAGGACTGCATCCCGAGCCTAAGTACACCGCGTATCCCTATATTCTATACATATATATATATATGAATATATATATATATATAAACATATATCCCATATCCCATATCCCAATCGCATATAACGAGTACTTCGTATCCCATTCCGTTGCCTTTGTTGGCTCTCCATTGTCGACATAAATGCACAATTTGCGCATGAAAAGCGCGGATTTTGAGAGAAAGGGAATGGGACCGAGGTGCACTGCTAGAAAATATGGGTTTAGAAATAAATCTAAGTGCAAGTGGAAATTTAAATTATTACATTAAGTGTGTTCAAAAGAACTATACAACAAATACAATAATAATAGTATTACGGTAAGAAATCTCTTAAATAACCTTTTTAAATTAGATCTAAAAAAACACCAACGATTACAGTTCACCAACTTTTTTAACAATGATATTTAAAGAGCCCAAATATTGATTACTAATAAAAGTGCATAATAATACGTTCAACAATCATATATTAAATATTCCAACGATTATAATTCACCAACTTTTTTAACAACTATATTTAAAGACTCCAACTATTGCTCCAAATATTGATTACTAATAAAAGTACATAATAATACGTTCAACAATCATGTATTAAATATTCCAAATTATACAAAGTTGAGAAACAAAAGTTGGCTTATTGTTATATATTACTAAAAATTCACAAGCTGTTCATAAAAAGTAACCAGTTCTCTGATCAGTTAGGTCATATTATCCTGTTCTTTCTTTAGTTTATATTACAAATAAATATTTAAAATTTATTTCCAGTGTCTCTCCTATACTGCACACACACACCAGCACACACATTCTCCATATATTCAATGTACTTCCGGTGGCGGGACAGGAACAGAAACAGGAGCAGCATCGGGGGTTTGAAGTTGCTTTCGTGGTCCTTTGACAGACGCTGCGAAGGATAATACACACTTAATTGCTCAAAATGATGCGATTGTGGAGCGTTGCATATGCCACACACTCACTCACACACACTCCCCTGTGTGTGCATCAGGCGATTAGCGAATGGAAAGCTTCATCGCAGCTTTTTTTTGTATTTTTTTTTTGGCGCGCTGAAATTTAAAGGAGTCTGTAAAAAACAGGACAAAAAAGGGGAGTTGCCCTGGTTATGTATTTAAGCCACAACAAAAGACACTCGAGAGCATATCATTGGCGTTTTGTGACGACGACTCTCCACACATGAGTTCACATGCGATACATGAGGTCGTAATTGCATTTAAAGGTTTTGCACTCTTACACTCGACACCCCCCTGCATACACCCCTGTGCTTAACCCCTTTCCTTAACCCCTTAACCAACTTCCATGCCTTCTTGGTCACATCCCACATGTGGTTGTGCGTATGAAAACATACATATAAGAATGTGGTTCTGTGAAGGGCGGGCAGCAGTCCGTTTAAAATGATGTTAGGCCAGAGTAACTAGAGGAATCAGCTACCAGAAAAGGGTATTATAAAGTTAAAAATACAGGAAAATATATACAGAAAAATATAATAAAAGATTAATAGATTAATAAGTTTCGATAAGTATGCTATGATTTCTGGGAACTTAATGTAGTGGTATTTTACAACGCTTTTACTTGCGAATTAATATTTATTTAAGGTTGTTTTTATTTAAAAAAAATAAATCATCTTTTCTGCTTTAGGAAAAATAAAACGCATGCAATTATATAAGATTTAATATGAACTTAAATGACGTTCCAAATGATGCTATGAAATATTAAAGATATATTATAATTTAGTTATAGATATAGTTATAATTTAAATTTCTCAGATATTGTTTTCTTTATTTAATTTAATTTTGCCTATAATTATCTTTATTTTTTTTTTAAATCCCCTTTTAAGGTCACCATCCAATATCAGATCCCACACTCTCTATCCTCATTTGTCCTGTGACGACCCACAAAAAAGCAACCGCATTTCTGCGTTTTACTCAAGAACCACTCCACTTCAGTTCAATTCTGTTCTGTTCGCTTCAGTTTCCTCTTGAAAAACAAATATATATATATATATAACCCCCTAGCAAACGTACGCCCTGGAGCAGGGGGCATTGTTTCAATTTCAATTTCCATGTCGATTCGGTTGTTTTCGATTTGATGACCTCGCAGCAGCAGCAGTGGAAGAGGCAGCCTCTGCTTGAAATCTATAAATACTGGCAATCATTATGAGGTTTCATATTTTTATTGCATATTTTATAAGAATCCGAGAGGGGCAGCAAGAGGCTGGGACTCTCAGTTTCAGTGGCATATTTCTCCTACTGCTGCTGTTCCCGCAATCCAATTGTCATTCATGACAGCTGTCGATCAGAAATGGCGGCTGAAAAATTACGAGTATATTTATATACCTTTATACACGAGTATATATAACAATATAGGAGGAAAGCGGAGGCCAGTGTGAGGTGGTTGCTTTTGATTCAGGTTTTTACAAAGTCCTCTCCCCCTTGTGTGTGTGTTTTTTCCTCTTCGTGTAATTGCCACCTTTTGTGTGGACAAATGTTTGGCATATTTTGTATATCATATTCTATGGCATTTGCATAATTTTATGATGGTTTATTTAATATATGATATGATATATGTAAATCCGAGGATTGATATGTTATAGATATGTTTTTAAATTGACAGGAATACATCTTGTTTGAAGGAAATTATGATTGGGTAGATAATTATGGGTAGATTTAATATTATGCAGATGGGAAATTAATTAACTCGAGTTGGGTTTTGATTTCTTTACTTAAAAGATGATTTAAGTTATGTTTAGGTATAGAATACCTTAAAATAAGGCACACTCTTTATCATTCAGAAACTATTTTTAAGGCAATCTTTACAGTATTACTTTCCTTCCATTCCAGAAAGTACATATTTTTGGTACACTTTTTCAAGTATTTCCCTTCGATCCCCCTCTTAAATAATTCACTTTAACACTTTGCAACCGCCCCCATCTTTTACCATCTGGATTATGATCGAATATCTGGCAAAGTCCCATCCATTTCCGATGCGTCACACCTTTTGCCAAGGATTTGCAAATCCAGCGTGTGCCATGTGGCGGTGACATTGTCATGTGTTCAGGAGTCGAAACCCTAGACCTGAAAACACCTTTGCCGTGATGTCAACGCCCGTACATTATTATTATTATTACCGCCACCATCCAACCCAGACTCAAGTACATTCAAATCCATGACTGTAATTCGCATCTGATTCGACTTTGGACCATTTGTATGGCGGAGACATATCCGCGACGAGGCAATTGTTTTGTGTTTTGCAAGCGGGCGCAACTCCTGCTTGTCGTCGTTATCCTGTTCCCTGCCAAAGGAAAGGAAAAACATCTGTCGGTTGTCATCGGAAGTTGTATCTGACGGCACGCCCCACCAACGTATTTATTTTCGAGTTTCAGAAATTCAGAGGCGTTGGCTGAGATTGAAGTGAAGTGTGGGCCCTTTTTCCCCTTCCCCTGCAAGCTGTTCTCAGTACATATTTCACGGTATTTACACCCGTACTTGTGCGAGTGTGTGTCTCGCCAGAAGTTACGGATATTATTCATAATTTTCCAACAGAGAAGGCACGGTTGCCTACTGTCTGAGGGCTGTCTTTCACCGGAAATCAGTTTCAGAGCCGTTGATAGATCTCTGTCTTGACCATCAGAAGTGGGTTGAGAAAGAGCAGGGGTTTCCAAGAGGGCGGGCACGTGCTAAAGGGCTTCAAAAGAGACCCTGACCCCATGGTGTTAAAAACAAATGCCAAAAAATCAAAGCAGCAAACAGTTTTGTGGCTTTGCCCCGTGATAATGACGTGATAATTGCTTCTGTCTGATAAAATCGGGAATCGGAGAGCGATGTCCCATTTCGGAAGCCTTGCAACTGACACATTTCTCCACGCCAACGAGCAGGAATTGAGACACAGTTTATGTTCGTTTATATGGGTGTCAGAGTTCAAAGGACACCTGCGGAGCGCTTTTAATTGCATCGCACAAGCAACACCAAAAAGAGTGACAAGGAATCTTTCTGGGTGCAAAGGACGAAAAGGACCTCCTGGCGCTAGGAAACAAAGTAATTACAAGGCCCACAGCTCAGACAGAAGGTGATGGAGATGGTGGGGTATATAGAGAAGGCTTCCAAATATATATTTGCACAGGGAAAATAAAGTTTCTATTATTAATGTAGATTTAAAAGAATTTAAAGAGTTGTCTAAAGGTATTTAATACTGTATTTTAGGCATGAAATTGTTAAAATTATATCTTTTCAGATATTTTAATATAATTTTTCTAAGAAATATGCTTATCAAAGACATATAAAAACATCTAATTAATATTATTTTTAGCTATCTATACTTTTAAAAGGTTTCTGACTTTTTCCTGTCTCATTTCTGATATCTTTTCGCGGTGTAAATCCCATTGACAGCTGCCGGAAAGGAGAAAAAACCCCGAAAACGCCACAACATTTATTTTTTTCCAGGGGAGAAATGGGTTGATAGAGAGAGATTGTGGGAGAGAGTGCTAGAATTCTATTAGCAGCGTCAAGGAAATCGCTTTTCCTAATAGCCGCACGCCACGTGTCCTGCTCAGTCGTGTGTCACCGACCGAAGGACAACCGCAGTGGAAGCATCCTTCCCCTCACTCCCAGTGAACTTCCTTTTCCTCTTCCTTCCGGTCCGAACAACAATACAATTGTAAAATTATAAAAATTTCGCACTCTCGCATATCGTAACGAAAACCGGACGTCGTCCTTTTGCGGCTGCAACCGAAGATACACTTGTTTTCGGCATAAAAGGACACGCGCCACAGGGAAAGCTCTGTAGTGTATGGTGAAAATGGTTGGGAAAATGACAGAATGAGGGTGGCATTGGTTGGCCAGACATCATCAATATTGCAGACATCTCTCGCCCGGGCAGATTGAGGCTGTCAAATAAGCGTAGCTAATGCGTATTAAGTGCAGGATTCGCTGAGGGTAGGAAAAGTTGGCTCAATCACGCTAATAGCCGCAATTCATGCAAATGCTGCAGACAATAAAATATGCCTCGCATATCAGTCAAGTCAAGGCAAGTCGGAGTCAAGTAGCAAGGTCAAATGCCCAGGGAATATATATTGATAGGTGATTGGGAATGAGGAAATATTATTTAGAAATTAATTTTCACAATTTTAGAGGGTTTTTAGGAGAGCTTGAAAGTTTCTTATATGATAAATACAAAAATAAAGGATTATGAACATTATAAAACACATCTTTAGCCATTTAAACTTACCTTTTATTCCTAGAAATTAAATTCCCATATTTCTTTGCGCATCTCTTTATGATTTAATTTTTGTTTTACCAATTGGAGTGTTAACTTTGTTTTTTCTGTCTGTATCACATAGCAATACTTAAATCCATATAAACAAAAGTCTTACTGAACTAATTTAAAGCGAAACCCAGCTAAGCCCAAAAATAATAGAAGTAACAATAATAACAAGCAGCTTTCCCGTGGTCCCTCGATATATTTCTGTAATATTTCTCCGATTTAAGAGAAATGCATTCCATTGAACTTATCGCGATCATTCTGAACCATATTATTGTACTTCCATTTCTCGGCACTCGAGGCCTGACCGCTCCAAGCGGATCCTGAACCGGATGATCCGGACTTGGAACTGCTGAAGTCCTTGGAAGTTGGCTTGTCCTTGGAGGAGCTGCTCAGGCACTTCTCGTTGCGTTCGGTGTAAACCATTTTGGCGTTGGTTGAAGTTTCTTGTTTTTGATTTGGTGAATTAATTTTTGCCAATTACTCAAAAGCTGCGCTTCCAAATGCGTAGAGAGTTCAAAAGTTCACGGTACAGTCTGCAGCAGGGTCAGTACTTTAAGTTCCTTATTATTGGCCGAATTGCCCGTGCGGGATCCTTTTTTCGATGACAGACTTTTGCCCAATCTGTGGGATAGAGGAGAATAGATATAGAAATTAATTTAAGGGAACTTTTAATGTTTTAGAAAATATTTAGTCAAATATAAACATGAGAAAAATAAGAAAACTTGGGGTTACTTGACATTATTTCGCATATAACAAATGAAGCTCAAAGGTCTTGCTAAAAACCTGTTTTTCTTACTTGTTTAGTACAGGTAATCAATGTTTTGGTAAAAGAACAATATAGATTTATATATTTTTTAGTGACTGAAAATATTATAAATGATTTCGACTAGCTAATCACATTTTTAGGATTTTTCTTTACTCAAAAAAAAAAACATTTATTTACGATTATAGGGCCACAAAAATATGTTTCTTTGTATTTTTGACACTGTGAGTTATTTTTTAAACCTTATATGAATATGATTTAATTTTCCACCCACCTTGACTGCTTCAACAATTTCTGTTTGGAATCCGTGTTGCTAATTTTTGGCATTGACACACAAATGTATTGCAACTAGCGCATTGGATAGGAAAAGAAAGGAAATTTCACAGCACACGCTCCCTGAGAACTGACTGCTCTGCTCTGCTCTGCTCTGGACTTTCTACTGACCCTCCAGCGGACACGGCACCTGGTTTAAATACCCCGTATTCCGATCATCTCCGATCTGAACCGAGTGCAATGCCTACCTACCTGGCGGAGGAACTGCGTCATCGTTCTACGAGCGAGTAACGCAGTGCCCAGCAGCTGCAGGCTGTTCCGACATCCAAATCCATATCACCACCACCACCGAGCACCACCGGGCACCGGTGTGAACCCTCCCTCGCACCGGCATCGCCCAGCCCCGGGGTGACCTCAGTCTCCGACTCCGTCTGAGGCGAACCCGTTCCAAGCGGACGACAATGCAAATTAGAGCTATCGGAGCAACTGGTTTTTATCAGCGAAACCTTTGCAAACAAGACAGACAAGCCAAGAGTCGACTGCTTGATACCGTGGAATAAAATACAAATTATTAATCATTTCCCTGAAAAATTGATTACGTAGGAGGAGTGAAAACGCTGCTTTTAAAATCTTCGATTAAAATAAAAATAAATATCTAAGGTCCACAAAAGGAGAAGTAAAGAATAAACTCTTTTGAATTTGTTAAATTTAGAAAGTAATAAATTAATATGGAACCTGTAGATTATAGGATAAATATATAATACGTAAGAGTTTATATAAACTTTATAACCATAAACCAAGATTTATTAAGGTATACACAATAATCATCATAGGACACCCTGTAATTCACCAGATTTTGGTATGAATTTCTAGAGCAAACCCACAGAAAATTCTCAAAACATAAAGGGTATTAAAAAATCACCCCAAAAATAACCGAACCTGCTATGTCTCACGTAGTGTTCTCCTTTGTTTCTTTCTCTTTGATTAGCAAACATTATCTTCATCATCGTGATTCCAATAATCGAAGACAGTTGCCGGCCGGCAGTTTATTGACACGTCATCCAAAATTTCAAATAATTCCCCTAAAATAGGGTTTTTTCCTAGCTAAAAAGATCGTTTTAAGACCTGGTACTCGATGTAACATAACGATGTTTTCGTATATCCCAGGTATATATGAATATGTAGATCGCCTGATCGACTATGGATATATAAAATTATGCATAAAACGATGGCTGATGAAAAGTCTTGGTTGCATTGCATCAGCCAATTTTTTTAAGGCGAGAAAACAACTTGAAAGCTGGCGCCGGTTTATAGTATTTTAATCTGCTGTTTATAGATATATAGCTGTCCGATCTGTTGGAATTATTATGCTAGAATCTAGTAAAAAGGGTAGGAAAAGGGAGCGTAATAGAAAATATCAGAAAATTGTATTATATTTTGAAGTAAATCTCGAGTTCCCAGAGATCAATGATATTTAAACCCCATTTTAATTCCAGAATCTAGTCAGACTTGCTAGGACATTATTCCCAAGACATGTACTCCCTTTAGTAAACAAAAACAAGTTCAAATTAGACATTAATTTAATAGGTTTAATGACACGAAAAGGATCTTCGTCCCTCAAACTTCTCTTCCATCTCGTAACAATGGATATTCCCCCCCGAAAACAAACCCGTTTCGAATAATCCAAACAAATATCTAATTTGTGTACTTTGAACGTCTAACTCGAAGATTTTTTAAATGTCAATGTTATATATTGCAAATTTATATGTCTGCCGAAAAAATTCCATTTCGATTGCATTATGCAAATGCGCCAGACACATGGCTAAATAATTAAAAAACGTGGCCAGACAGCAAAGAAAGTAAAATAAAATATATATATACTTATCCAGACAGGTTGGGTTTTCAAAAAGTGTATATAAAGTGTGGTGTCTTTCAGGGCAAACATTTGGCCCAAAGGCTTCGAGCCGCATGCTCCTAAGGATTCCTTAAACTACCTGAAAATCCCCCTGGCTAATTTGTTTATTTATTTGTTTGTTTAATTGCTTTTGGTGTTTGGTTTTTCGGTTTGCGTTTTGGGGTTTCCTTTGTTTACTACTCATTCAGAGGACCGCGTGGCAAACCCGCTTCCATTGACGCACCGCCTCGAAACGGTGGCGTAAACAAGAAATTTGGCACATGTCTGCGCAGGCGATTTCGCATCATAGTCAGCCCCAAAAAAAACAACAACAAAAAGCCTTTAAAATAAATATTAAAACAAAAAAGAAACTAGTTTAAACGGAGCATGCGTTGAGCTCGTGATGAGATCAGTCCAAATCTCGTCTGCCTTTCGAGTATAAAAGCACCGATCGCAGCTCGATATCAAACAGACTAAAGTCTACAGCCATCGCAGTCGATAGCCACCCAAAAAAATAAAAAAAACCAAGTGATTTCTTAAAAATATTTCCCCCAAAGTGTACAAACAAATGTGTCAATGAAGACACCGGACACCAAAGCCAAGCTGCTCAATAATTTAAGGTGAGAAAAGAAGAAACTTTAATAGAAAAACTTGTGAAGAAATAAAAAGAAATAACTTCGAAATTGAAATAATAAAAGCTTATGAGAACATATACAATATTTTGTGTTCTGTTGATAAGGAAATTTATACATTTCTTAACACAAAGTTATATAATTATTTTCCTTACAAACTATTAAGAATATGTCTATCTTAATTTTGAAACTGAAAATATTTATTTTTGACATCATTAAAAATCTAGCAAATATTTCCAAATATTTCTTTTAAGCTTTTTAATGAGATATTTAAAAATAACTAGATTTGGGATTCATTTCTTAAAGATTTAAGCAGCATTTTATTTCAAAACTAACGTAATAAAATCCAGTTTTCTTTGTCATTTCTTAAGAATCAAGCTCTGTATTTTTAAACAGATAGCATATTTTCTAAATTTTCTTATATTTTAAATTAATAAAAAATTCCTTAATTCTTATGTTTTTTAGTCTCTCTAAACATCTGTCTTCTAAGAAAGGCGGCTCCCGCACTAGCAACTGCGGCAATTGTCTGGAATTCTCCGTCCTCACCCGTCTCTCCAGTGTGCCCTGAACCACCGTGACCCCATTTTAAGCTTAACTTGGCTACTGATTTTGAAAAACTCGCAAGAAATACTACTTTGAAAAGTCACATATATATATATATAGATATATATCCTTGAGAACAAAATGGTCCATCAAACGCGCACTCCCAGCAAGGCCATACCGGCCAAGCACCTGAGTCCCATGCGACCCGTGGAGGGTTTGGGCGGCAAGTACGCCGTGTCCAGCAGTCCGGCGGATAGCTTCCTCCGGAACAATAATACCAGGCTGACGGTACAGTCCAGTTCCGGTTACCCACAGTCGACGGCCTTCAAATACAACCAGATGGTCGCCAACAATCGGGAGCAGTTCAATAGCCTCCATTTCTGCTAGGAAAACGAAGGGAAGACGCAGATTATTTGTCGCACAAAAATAAATAAATAAAATGCAATAAATACAAGCAATAAATAATGCATATACACAAATTCATTTACAACAAATCTACGCAAATTAATCGAGTTACATAAATCGCCTGCGTCACGTGCTTTTTAATAATTTTGCACAAATTGAATGTAACCCCAGGCCTAAGTCTGCGATTCGCATTCTCGCCTTCATTTTTCATTGTTTGCGGCTGTCTGCCTCACTTTGTCATATGCAAATGTGGGTGGGTGTGGGTGTGTGAGTGTGTGTCCCAGAGTGTGTGTGATTTTTGCACATTTCATATTCGGTTTTTTTCCACACATCCAAACGCCGCCATATTTTCACATTAGCCACGAAATCAAAAAGCTTTAACATTCGCTCGAGCCGGGATTTGCATAAATCTTTGTTAGCCTTTTTTTGGGTTTGACTTCCCGATTTCTTTAGGCACTGCAGGTGGAAAAAAAAACAAAGGGGACAGTGCGTTTCAAAGTTGTAAGCAATTTAAAAGAAAATAAAATATATCTTCTAGTGAAATTTAAACAAAATAGAAAGTTTGTTTGGGATCATAGGACCGAACGTACAATCTTTCATAACAAGCCAAAACTGCATTATTCTCAATGTTCTGTGTTGGCTTAAACAATATATTTTTATGTTAATTTTAGGGGTAAACTAAAGTTTTTCAAATCTCATAACTCAGCCAAAAATGCCTTAATTTCAATTCGGAAAGCTCTCCCATAATAGATTTTATGCGGTTAGCAAATCTGCATGTTGAAAAATGGATATTTTTGGCAATTTTAAGAATAAAAAAATTGAATTGAAAATTTGAAAAAATTAAATTTTAGCTGAACATAGCTAGATCGATTCGTTTTTTGATGCTGATCAAGAATATTTATAATTTATAGTGTCGGAAATGACTCC